TAATAAAAACACTGTAGCCTCAGGGGTCCACAGCGAAGAATGAGAGACCAGTAGATGTGTTCAGAAATAAACAGTAACAGACTGAACGGACCAGAGCGACAGACAATGACAGAGAGCAACATTTTCTGTTTAGCAGTCGCTTAAAATAAAAAAAAAAGGTAGAAAACAATGGATAACAGCACTGACCTGGAGGCAGCATCTCAAAAACAGCAAAAAGTGCGTGCCTGGGGCTGAATATATTTCTTTTGCTGTTGGGATGATGTGGAAACGTGTGGCAAAACACGTGTGTTCACTTTTTCCTTGTTTTTTTAGGGAGCATCTGTAATCTTAGAAGTCCAGTTACAGCATATATTACTATATTAATTAATGAATTAGAGTTGCTGTCTGGATCTTCTAAGTGGACATTGAATAATGGTGGACTAGGCATGGGAAACCTATGGCCTGGGGGCCCGATATGGTCCACTAGGCTCTTTAATCTGGCCCGCAGAACTTAAAAATTTAAATCCCCAATAGCTGGCACCCTCCAGGGTTGAGGTGTTGCACTTGCTACTGTTTTGCTTTGTCCTTTGTTTGAACTTACTAACCACAGAAAAAACAAACAGGTTAAATAAAAGAAAAGTAGACAGTGAGTGCCGAGTGGTTAATAAGGAATGAACAGAATATTTTTGAAGTTTAAGTTCACGCCAACACTCCCTCCATCTGCACCTGGCCTGGTGTCTTTGTGTTCATTTCTAATAGTCAACATAAAGAAAACACGTTTCTCAGCTTCCATCTACATCAGAAAACCCAGAGAAGCCTGATTGGCGTCTTTACCAAACCCTTTTCTACTCGGAGTGTGTTTACTTCCTCTCCAGCTCGACCTAATTTAAGGACTGCGCTGCACTTTGTCTGCTGCGGGCGTTTTTGCTGCTGTTTCCACGTAGAGCTCCCCAAATGTAAATGTCTCCTCAGTGAGAGTCTGCTGAGGGCTGTAGTTAATGCAACTACAGTCTCTGCTACTTATGGACCACTCAGCATGTCTGCAGAGTGGTCTAAATGCACGGTGTAATTATTCAGGGAGCTTTCTCTCCTTCTCCCAACCCTCCTTTTTTTTCCATGTGACCATCTTCTCCTGGTCTCTGTTTTATCTTTTTCTTTTTGTTCTCATGGAGGATTTTCAATAATATTCCATTACTTCATCAAACAAGGCGCAGAGATAACAACAGTATCGAAACCCTGCAGCAAAACATTTCCCATGTAGACCTTTGATCTGAAACGCAGGACCGGCTTTGCATTATCCTTATTTTTAACTTTCATGTATTTTTCTCCGACTCTCATTAAAAATCCCATTTTGCCTGTTTGATGCTCTGAACAACAGTGGGCTACAGCTGACATGTGGTGTTCCTCTTTATTTACATGAGATGCGTTTTATAATTCTACATCTCCGTGCACTTACGTTTCCTATAATTGTGACTCCCCACCAGCACGTGGACAGAATAACAGGCCCACATCAATAATGCAGCGCGACAACAGTGGCCGAGGAGAAAGGAGGAGAAAGGAGGAGAGGAGCGGAGAGGAGCGGGTCGACAGGAATGTGAATTTAACAAAGGAGATGGGAAGAAAGAGAGAGGAGATAGGTGGATGTTAGGACAGAGGGGTGAGGTGGAGGTGGGCACAGCGGGGAGAGAAGAGGGAGCAGAAAGTAGTTCAGATAAAGTGCACTGAACAAGACAGACGGGAGTGGGAGGGAGGGAGGGAGGGAGTGGTGAATAAAAGCTTCAGATTAACACACACGCACCTAAACTGACGACAATCACTGTGAAAGACAGAGGAACGAACTGCAATTACCATTCACTCTGCACATTTATGTCCAACATATGGACAGTGGACCCACACACTGCAGAGGGAAAGAAGGGGGAGCTGTAAGGAAACCCAGTAATCCAGATGCCAACGACTGTAAATCACCAGAGACTGTTTACAGCACAGCAAACATCTCTGTATCCTCTCTGGGTGGATTTGAATATACCACGATTAATCAACATTGTTGACAAAAACCAGCCGATTAAATACACTGGAACCTCCGTTTTCAAACTTAATTCATTCCTGAAGGCCGATCGTGAACCGAAAAGTTCAAAAATTGAAACAATTTTCCCCAAAGGAATCAATTTATTTCAAAGGAATCGTTTTAGAAATCGGTAACTAATCGACTTTAAAAGAGTCTTTTGTTGCAGCCCTAGTGTAAAAATAGAGCAAAGTTTATTTCATTGGTGTTTATTTATTTGTTGAAAAGTAGTTTATATTTTATATAGTATGTATAATATCAATTATTTTCTATATATTGCATACATTTCTGCCCTGCTGCTGTTACAAACCTCTTGTTTCTGTTTACTGTGAATAATGTCATATTTCCAGCACACGTCAATCACTAACTAAAAAAATATATACATATATTACTTATTATTTTGTTATTGCTGGATAAAATGCCGTGGGTGTCCCATCATGCATTGTGTGTGCCAATTAGGGCGCTGTTAAATTAATTTCCTTTCCGATAAGTCAACTGCTGCAGAGCAGAAACCCGGCTAACTAAAACCTGTTTGAGTGACACCTGCCAGAACTGAAAGACAAAACTCTCCCTGGTAAAAATACGTCAGTGTGGCTTTTAGCATTCACACACAGACACAGTGGATATCAGAAGCCTCACTGTGTACAGTAGTGGTCAGCCGCCTGTTCATAGAGATGAACTGAAGCTCCTCCACTCTGACCTCCTCGACCTTTTACAAGTTTGCTCTGCAATTAGTTGCCCCAGCAGAGCAGTCTTTCCTGGTATTGATCCAGCACTGATCCTGGTGCGTTGTGTTGCGAGTATATTTTGATCCTGAAAATTAAATTGGCAGAAATGTTTCACATTTCACAAATTTAATTTAAAACCCTTCCACATGGGTGAGTTTACTGTTATTATTCTCTGATGCGTCTGCATTTACAACCGGCTGCAAACGCTGCTGACTTTTCCACAGCTGTCAAACAGAGCAGCAGGAGTGACGACAATCTCTGTTCATCTCAGATCATCTAAAACCATGCCAACCTTTCCTCTTTTGCATCATCAAACTTGTGAGTTAGGTTTACAAAGAAGCCTTAATGATTCTCTCACCACCCAGTCCAGTCTGTGTGTTCCACTGAGGAAACCATTAAGGCCCTCTTCTATCCCCGTCGGGGCTCGGTCCTCATCAATTTTCATTATCCCGTACAGGATAACAGCCCACAGAAACGCTGCAGGAAGTAGCTGCAGGCCAATATTCAATGCTGTAACAGATGCACATCAATCAACACTCTATTGTCATTTATTACATACGTACTGCAGTCCAATCAGCCGATCCTGTGCTTCGATCGCGTTTATCTTCCTTTACGTTATCTAACCTCGTTCCTGCTTCTATTAGGCTCATGTGGTTAATCAACTCTCCTCTCTGCTGCTCACCGCTGTGATTTGTAATGAGTCATATTCATGATGATTAGCAATTAGTCAAATCCTAGGTGATTTGCATACTTTAATTACACTTAAATCCAAATCCTATTGATGGGTGTTTTAAAAGAAACATCTCAAAAACTGAAAAACCCACTCCTGTTTGTCTTTTTAGTCTACGTCTACCTTGGCATGACTCTAAACTGAGAAAGAAACATTTCCTTAAAAACCGACTTATTTAAAAAAGAAATTAAACAGTATACTTCAGTGATCATCAACTGGTGGCTTGCGGGCCAAATCCAGCCAGCTATACTGCCCATACTGGCCCACGACATTATTCCAAAATAAACATCAAATAATAATGTGGGACAAAATGTCTTTTTTATTTCACTTTATCCGAGTGTCTCCAAAGGCAGCTATTGTACTTCACTAAAAGGGTAAATCTAACCATGCGACAGAGTGACTTCAATGGCTGCACCGTAGTTACAGTCCGGCTCATCTCCATCAGTCCACTGTTAGTTCTTTTTACCTCTCTGTCAGTTATGACGCGGCCATTACCGTCTGGAGCTGAAACAGTAGTAAGGTTCACACATACTTTCCGCGGTGCTGCCGTGAGACGAGGAGTCGGGTCATTTTAGCTTATGTGGTGTAATTGGACGGCTGTCTCACCACTGCTGGGAGAGAAAAACATTTCTCAGATTTTTACCACCTACCAACAAATCAGGCATTTCAGGTGAGGCTTAATGGGCCTTAATGGACAACACGTTGGACTCCCCCCCCTCACCCCCCCACTCTACCCCCTCTTTATAAATATTTATAAGGGTGTGTAAGCTGATATATCGCAATATTCCGTTTACATGCAAATATTAATGGCATTGTTTTGTTCCATCCAGCTTTAGCTTAGCTGCTTTTAGTAACCTGATGTTAAGCATGTTAGCACTATGCTAAAAGTTTTCCTTTTAGCATAGTTTTAAAATAAACTCAATATATCATCATGCCTATAGTATTGTAGTATATCGCAATATATCGTTGCCCCTGCATCCTGATACATATACCAATATATGTATTATACAAACTAAAAAACATATATATTTCTTTTTTATAATTATTGTAAAAAAACAAAAAAGGAACCAGCAACATAAAAGGATTTTTGTGTGTATGTCTGTGTGTGTGTGTGTGTGTGTGTGCCTAATCAGGGAATACGGGTGAGGGTTGATGACAACAGCACAGCTCACAGGTCATCTGTAGCCATGTCGGTGACTCATTGTGTGGCTTTTAATGAACAGCTCATTAGATGAAAATCTCATTAGTTTTGTGATGAAAGTGAGCAAATGATCCAGGGATGGGGAGAAGAATTCGGTGCATCCATTTAATTTGGTGAACATTCTGAGATGCGCCTCGGGCTTTGGGCTCCGTGAATGGAGCGAATACCATCCTCTGGGAGAAGCTTCCCACCAAAGTAAGACTCAGGAAAATGTGAATTTGGTGGAGCACATTTTCAAGGTTATATTAATTATTAAAAGAAAACTACAAGCTACGCTGTTTGTTTTTTCTTCCATTGCAGATCTGTGACAAAGAATGGCACTACTATGTGATCAATGTGGAATTTCCCGCGGTGACGCTTTTCGTAGACGGCGTGACCTACGAGCCCTACCTGGTGACAGATGACTGGCCCATCCATGCCTCCAAGATTGATACACAGCTGACTGTTGGAGCCTGCTGGCAAGGTCAGTGTCTGTGTTCGAGGGTTGCAAGAATAACACACACAGACCCACACACTCTCTCACAGCTGCTTTGACCTTCTGCAAAAATGCATTCAAGATTTCACCAAAAAAGGCAGGAAGGAGCAGTGGGGGGCTGATGCTTTTATGTTATGTTGTCAGACATGTTTACTGCTGCTGTTTGACATGCAGCAGCCTCGTCTGCTCCCCGTTATAGCGTTTTACTGTGGTGCACATGAATTACAAAATCAATTTTTCTGGACATGTTTTTCACATCAGGGGCCACTTTTCTGCATATTTATCACCACGTCGTGACTGCGTATTGATAAAGGGAGTATTTCATCAAAGATCCATTGTCTTTCGCAGCAAGGAAAAAACAACAAAACAAAACAATGTTCTTACTAAAATAACTTAAAAGCCCGGTTGAAGGAAGAAAGACCTACAAAGAGTCCATCCACGCTGTCAGGGTGGTTTGAACGAATCGATAATAAGATGAAACGGGGTCAAAATATGGACAAAGATGCATCGATGCAGGGACGGCACATAATCAATAACTGTGCTGGACCAACGCTCACGCATAAACGCTAAGGAGGTATCCTTTTTATTTAGGGAAAAATAGCACTCTTTAAACTGTAAATAATTTGCTCAGTTGAAGCAGCACTCCACAGACCAACATAAAACACCAGAGAGTCATTATATAGTAAAACGACAACAACGTGTTATGCCTCATTGTGGTCAAATTCAAATCATTAGCTGCAGTTGAACTCGGTTTTGTGCCGTAAACAGAATGAAGATATTATTATTTTAAATTGTTTTCATCCCTCGGAGGCAGGGAGGCAGTGTTCTTTGGGTTCCGTGTCACTCCCTCCTTTCTTTAACTATTGGCGACATTTTTGTTTCCTCCTTTCTTTAACTATTGGCGACATTTCTATGAACAGAATATTATAACGCCCATCTGCATGTTCTGTTTTTGTTTCTTTTTTTTTACAACTCTGTCTCTTTTTTGCTAACCAATAGCCAAATAAAAATGCATATATCCCATCATCCTTCTATAAATAATTAGCCGATCCGTCGTCAGACATTTACACAGTATTTACACAGTATTATATAATGTACTCAATCAGACATTTTTAATGTCCTCCAGTTGGTTCCCTGGGCTTTCTTGGGACAGATTGTGCTCATGTGCGCTCCAGTTAAAAACCGTCTGTCTGGTCTTTAGGATGCACAGGAGGGTTTTCCTAATCAGATGGTCAGACTTCCTCTGGATGAGCAGTGGCTTCTCTAGCAGCCCGCTCCTGCTGCCTAACCATTTAACTCTATCGGTGGGATTGAATCCAGTCATTGTATGGAGTCAGATAATTCTTTAAGTCGCTGTTGAAAGCTCATCGTAAATCCCCCGGCAAATGAGAAAGGCTTTGTTTTCCAGGCCTCCTCTTTACCACATTAATTTAGTACAAAGCCTGCTGCCCTTGCTGTTGTTGTCGGCCCGTCGACTCCGTTCTCCCCTCACCTGCGATGTTCAATATAACGCAATTTAGAGCACTTGAAGAGGCAAAATAATCAGTTTACTGCCTCGCCGCGGTGGTCGAAACACACCGCCGTTTTCTCTTTTTGCTGAAGGCAACAGTCCAACATGATGAGGACATGTAGTAAACAGAGATAATGCATAAATAAATGGGGCACATCGCGCCACTTTGCCAATAACATTGCAATTTGAGGCACAAACAGAGAAAGAGGCAGCGAGTGCTGTGCTGTAAAGATAAATAAAGAGATTAATATTTATACACCAGGGCTGTTCTGGCTGTCTCCTCTTTTTTTTTTTTTTTTTTTCTTTTTTTTTTTTTTTTAATAAATAGAGGAGACATGAGCTGAGTGGCTATCAAACTGGAAATTCTGTATGTTATCTCCAGCGGCAGGGATCCAGAGTGAGAGATCACACTAGCATGGAGGAGAGTTATGCTGCTGCCATCTTTATGAGTTGAATAATTACACAAAATTGCTCTGCAGCTTGCGTAAATAACACCCGCGACATCATCTTTCACCGCTGATGGTGTTTTTGGTGCCGTTAAAAATGTCTTCCCCTGGTGTGCTTGATTGCTATTTTTTATTTTGTCAGGATTTTTGTTTGCATCATGTCTCTCTCTCCCTCTCTCTCTCTCTCTCTCTCTCTTTCTATGAATATCTGATGGTGAGAGACGCCCTGAAGGAAGGATTAGCCAGCGTGAATGGAGGACAACTTTGTCAGCTATTACATCCCAATGAAGCTGCTCTAAGCTTCACTAAGCCGCAACTGATAACTTTGCAGGCCATTAGTGAGCAAGAGTGCCTCTCTCTCACTCTCTCTCTCTCCCTCATTTCTCCATCCCACCCTTTTACCCTACAATCAACAACATCAGCCTTAGACGTGTGGAACGAAAGGCTTTCAGACTGTACTTTCACACGAAGCCCGGCAGCAGAAAATCAGAGGCGTGTTTTCACTACACACACAGACAACGTTAACATGCAAATGCTCTGTTACGAGGGGGCTTTCTGCCGATCCCTGCCGTGGCAGCTGAATGCCGAACATGTGTGTTTGCTGTCTCATTTAATACAGAAGGGGAGAGGAGGTGGGTAAACTTTTCAAAACCAAGCCTACAGTGTTCCGACGTTCGACATTAACGTGGGAAAATGAATACATCAATCAGAAAACCATCAGTACGCTCTTTAATCATATGTAGATTATGCAGAATCATAATATTCTCCCCCTCAACAGCCCCGAGCAGAGAAGTGAGAAGAAATGGAAGTGCACAAATATCACGCAGCCGAAACACACGACGCAACTTCATATGTAAAGAGCATTTGTCGTTTAATTTAAACTAAATCCACACAAGCCCATTATCACCGCGGCAGGGAGAGGACGGATGTACGTAATGCCAATTAAATCCCCGTTCTCTCAGGTATTTACAGAAAATCCTGTAAAGTGGCCAAGAACAATAGAAGCTACGGAACAAAAGCACCAGAATAACACGCAGCTTTTATTCTGTGTTTAAAAGGTACGAAGGCCAACGAAGTTCAGAGGCAGAAACGAAGAAGTTTAACCCTTAAAAACATTCAAATAACGCTGGAATCCAGTAAGACTGACTGATTTTGACAAGTAAAGCCGCACTGAATTGTCTCTGGAAAAGGAGAGAGACGTCGTTTTCCAATTTATGGAGATTAATTTGAACACTTTCATATTTTATTCTAACCTTATTTTGACTGCTTACCCTAAGGACAGAAAAGTGAAGGACTGGAAAAAGTAAAAACTATTTTTCAAATCAAACTTGTTACACACAGGTTGTATTGACGGAATATTACATTTCTAAGATTGATTTTTTAAACATATTTTACCATCCATCCATCCATCCATCCATCCATCCATCCATCCATCTATCCACCCATTCTTCCATCCATCCATCCATCCATCTATTTATCGATCTAATTTGGACATTTAGGAAGTTAATGCCTAGCTGTTTCCTCGATAATATAAGGAATTTATTTTCAACAAGAAAATAAATAATTTTTCTAAAATATTTGGGGTTATTTTCATGAACTACACATTAAACACTGATGTGGTCCCTCAAAGAAATGACGGGGCCAGGAGTGACCCTCAGTTCATTAGAGTCTGATTCCCCTGGCTTTAGTTGGTCTGAAAAAACCTAGTGGTCTGTTGTCAGGTGGAGTTTTCAATTTTCATTCCTCAGTTAAAGTAGCATTGTGGTTTCTAATTCAGTAAAGATGCTGGAAATCATGTCCAGTCAGCAGAAGTCTTCATCCTAGGACGTCATACACAGACATGTCCCTGGAGTCTCTGAGTCTTTATTGTTAACTGCAGTTGGTCACGGCCGTAAATTATTTATCCTCAGAGTTTTTCTGAGCTGACACTTATTCTCCTGTCAGTTCAGCAAAAAAAAACAAACAAAAAAAAACAGGTGAAAAACAACAAACCCATGTTTTCACATACGTGTGGCTCATTAACCACATTTGTTTGTTGGTATCTGTAAAAGCATTCTGTTTGGAGTGATTTTAATCCAGCGTTTATCACTGAAACTCTGATCTCTCAGGTAACCTGAATAAAACCCAACCTTTATTCGTTCCACTGTCTAAATGTTGAAAAGCAAAAGAACCTTTTTAACTCAGCTGTGGAAGTAAACAAGTCCTTGAGAGAGAGAGAGATTTAACCCTTAAAATATTAAAATAAACGCCTGAAGCTAGTTAGAAAATAAAATACTGTTTAAAAAGTGAAACTGCAGCACCTTATCATGGAAACGTCCTGGGGGACAGTGTTTTGATATTTAGACATTATTTTTACAATCTGCAGAGACTACGTTCAGACTCGAACTTTTCTCGTACTTTTTCCTCAACTTTAACTCCAAACTTTGAGTGATGGAAAAGTGCGAGTCCTTGGAACCGGAGTTGGGTTTTTTTTTTTTTGTTTTTAGTTTTACAAAAATATGAAATCAATATTTTCGTGCTTAGGTTTTTTTATTTATTTATCAAATCAATTTGAACAATAATATATACCAGCTGAATGTTCAGTTTAATGAGGCCTACATTCAACTCAGCACCGACGACCTTCTCTCTTGTAGATGAAAAAGTGTGAAAATAAGGTGTAAAAATGTAACAGAACACTACGACAGTAAAGTAGACCAGATAGTAGACTAGAACTAGAGCAGAGGGAGCACAGGTTTGGTTGGTATGAGGCCCCCTCCCCTCCTCTACCCTCCAACTACCACCACTCTCTTATAGGAGTTTTTATTATTTATGTTTGCAGGCGCTCAGCTTCCTCAAGGCACACGGTGTTTCCCCATAGAGAACAAACTATGAGAAGTAATGAAAGAGGAGAAAACACAAGCAGAGGGCGGGTTCACTGTATATGGACACACTGCACTTTCATTGGCTCCAGAAAATTCCTTTACTTCTACATACATGGATAATCTCTACTCTGAGCATTGATATTTTAACAATCCCATGTGAAACCCTGATTTATTTCTGACTTCATTTCTAAATATTTACACACACACGCTGTTTTATTTCATCTTCTGATTTAGTGACCACTGCTGTTGTCTTTTTTCCTCCCGTTGTCCGGTGCGTGACTGTTCCATTCCACAGTATCGCCGTGGACACAGTGTGTTTGTGCCATATATGTGATTTATGCACTTTGCTTTTTTTTTATTAAAGCCCGAGGTTTTTCTCACATTATGATACATTTTAGTGCCTGCCCACCGTCCGTGCCATATTTCCTTTTATCTGCACATTACCCACACTACAGGAAATAGTCTTGTGACCAATGTCCACATAAAACTGTTCCTGTGGGTTGCTTCCACAGCCACGACTCATTATACAATACGTCTTATGTCGTTTCCATATACTGCTGCAGGAAATTGTGTTTCCAAAATGCCGCCTCAGCGTTTTGGAGTTTGGTTACTGACAAAGTTTGACGGCGCCTCTCTCCCAAATGTGATGGTTTCCCACTGGTTGTGATCTGGATGTTAAATATTCCTCCATTAAGTGTAATTCAATAATGCTTCAGAGCGTGACTTTTTGAACTCGGGCAGCCTGGCTCTGCTCGTGTGGGAGCGAGAAGCCTCTCTGCGTTTACAGGTCCTTCAGTATCAAATCGTCCGTCTTGATTAGATTAGTGTCTCCGTCAGCGTTAATCCAAGTCATTTTTTACACATTCAGTGACACGTGACCTGCAGAGTCGAGACGGTCAGTGTGTTTTATTAGATTTGAAAACGGACTATTATTAAGCAGCGCTCCTAGAGATGTCATCTGGTCCTTTAATCAGTTCTTAGTATAAGATGTTAAAGGTGTTTTTAATTGTTTTTATTATAGAATTATAGAATTTCTCCAATTCTAATCCAAAGCTGCCTTAAATCTTTTCTTAATAATCTTCAAAGCTGCCTTAAATCTTTTCTTAATATTTTTTTTACTTCATTTGTTCGAAAAAAAAGCTAAATAAATTTAATAAAATAGTTGTTTTGGGTAAAATTACCTGTCTAAAAATGAGTAACAGCAGGTGTTGAGGGACAAGCTGATGTGAATTAATTCAACACAGCAAAATGAATGCTACAGCAACATAAAAGATTTCGACACACAGGATATAAACATAATGGTAAGCTCCAAGGAAATGATGCCAGGGAATTGAACTACTATCACTACAGAAAAGGGGGGGTTGGTTAGCCCCTCCCCTCGGCTTCTTCAAATGTTATTTTCAGTCAACTGCAGTAGTACATACATAATCCATGTTAACCCTCAGTTTGCCCTGGCGTCCTCTCTTTTACCTCATTTGTCAGCTGTCCCTTTCAACCCGTATTGACCTGTCTTCTCTTCCTACCCTTCTTCCTCCTCTCATCTTCTTTCCCTCCTGGTCTCTCTTATCCTTACATCTTCTCCCATCTGCTCTTCTTTTACTAACCCTCTCCTCCCCTCTTCTCTTCTCTCTTTCCCCCCTCCAGGTGGTGAAGTAGCCACCCCCAGGTTCACACAGTATTTCCGTGGCAGCCTGTCAGGTCTAACAATTCGCCCAGGCCGCATTGAAACCCAGAAGGTTATCTCCTGTTTGCAGGCCTGTAAAGAAGGACTGGACATCAACTCTCTGGAAAGCCTGGCTAAGGACATAAAGGTGTGTTTAAATAAAAGGAGCCTGGAGGAGAGAAATGAAAAACAACACACAGAATCCATACACTCTGGCCTCACCCCGGGCTTTGTCCTATTTATCTTTGCACACATGCTGTGATGGAGTCTTTAGATCAGATTCATTTTCGTGGTTTTTCCAGTTATTTTAATGGATGACGTGTGTCCTTTTGTGTGTCTGTGTGGCTCCAGTTCCACTTCAACCCGGCCCAGTCTGTGCTGGTGGTGGAGGGAGAGGATGTTGGCAGCATCAACACAGCCATGACCAAGGTCTCCTACATCAACTCTCGACAGTTCCCTACATCGGGTCTCCGACGGCTGCACATCACTACCACAGTACAGTACGTGTACACACACACACACACACACACAACCCATAAAATGTTGTTCCCCTTGTGAAAAATGTGTGAGCTCCTTTTCAGACCAGTTTTACCCAGGCTGGGGAAACACCTTGTTTATTATTGCCAGCTGAGCATCCATAACATTTTAGGGATGTAATGAAAAATCTGTAAAATCTGAGAATCTCTTGAAAATATTTGACGTCAGTTTTTACATCCTATAATCAATGCTATAATCCATTACACATCTGAGTGTTTAGCTTGTGTTAGGAAAGATGTACGCATTTATTATGCCCTCGGGGGAAGAAAATAAGAAGCGGGTAGTGTGTGCTATGGAAGCCAATCTCAACATCTTCATTTCTGACATTGCAGATAGTGTCCGTTACATCAGCCATGACAAGCAGGAAATCGAACAGTAGACACTGATATCTGCTAATATTAGGTACATCTGGCTACCATCAGATGTAACGTTTGGTTTGACGATCTAAGTTGTCCTTAAAAGGACCCACGCACACTCTCTTCTCCATGACCTGCTTTTAATAACTCTTCCAAAAACTGCCTTTTCACTCTGGTACATCCACTGAACCGTAATCTTAAAAGGTTCACACTTCCCTGGCGAGACCTGGCTCCCACTTTAAAAACCTGTGCCAATAGACAATTCAGTATCATCCTCACGCCGTGGACGGAGGGGTGAGCTGGAGGGGGTCGATCCTCGGAGGTCCAGCCGAGGGTTTGGATTTGTTACACGAGTTCAAGTGATGCCAATAAATTCATATCTCACAGTACGTGTACACTACCCACACACAGACACACACACACACAGTGTGAAAGAGATGTCAAGTTGCTGAATCCAACGTGTGAACCCTACAGTGGTTGACTAATGTGTTATGTTTCATACATTATTCATTAAACAAGAGGGCACACATAAGTCCAGTTGGACGGTCACATGAAGGAGGACGGTCAAACATTAAAGGGCAGCTCACACAGCGTGTGTGTGTGTGTGTGTGTGTGTGTGCCTTCGACTTTATGCCACACTGGTCCCAGTGAGACAGCAGAGGACGGATCATTAGAGGAAAAACTATTGAACTACTAAACAGAGCAGCTGGTCATTAAGGACCTTTAAAGCTTCTGCTGATTGAAATGTGTATTTTGCTGGAATCTCTTTGGTGTGTGTGTGTGAGAGAGAGAGAGAGAGAGAGAGCGACTACCCACAGATCCAACTCTGGATTCTACTTGATTTGATCCACTAGACTCTGTCACTGGTTGTCACTTTGTCTGTTGGTCTATTGTAGTGATAATCAACTGAGGGCTCACAGGCCGCAGTGGCCCACCGAACTATCTAAATCCGGCCAGCGACTGAATTTCAAAATAAATGTTTTAGATGTTAAGACGTTAAGCTGACAGATGACTATCTTTGGGAGTGTCTCATTATTTCAGAAGCTAATGGTGTTTCAATTGTCAGACATGTTGATGCAGCAGAACACGAGGCTGCAGCTGATAATCATCTCGTTACATCTCGTGATTCAATACAATACTGCTGATCAAAACCATCGCCATAAACAGGAGAAATACAGAATCCTTACTCCTTTTGACTACAAGGAGAAGACAGATTGTATTAAACTCAGTCTTTTGAGTTTGTTTTTTTATTTTTGAAGCACTGTTGTCTGCATGGTGTTTTATTTTGAAAAACCAAATCACTTCTGTCAGCTTCTCTAAATAAATAACAGTGTAATATTAAAATATATATATAAAAAAATGAAATGATATATAATGCACTTTACAGTGTATTGTTATGGACCCTCACACACACACACACACGCGTGCAACCCTGCCACTGGTCTGTGGAATAATTGCATCATTGCTGCATCAAACCAGTGTGTGGTGCTGGTGGTTTGGGGGCCACTTGTTTACCAAGTTCAGATGCAGTTCTCTGTGTGTTTGTGTGGGTGTGTTCGGTTGTGTTTCTCCATGTTCCACTAGTACATAAGTGGGTGTTTGTTCACACACCATCCAGTGCATATGTTTCATTCATTTACTGTATGTTCATTATGTCGTGCAACACGAGAGACAGGGCCAATCAGCTTAGCAGTGCGTCGGTCGATAAAGTGATACGAGCTCCAGGAGCAGCTGTAGAGGCTGCTCTTCTCTGAACGACCCCTCCCTGCTCCTCGGATAAAGATAGGAAAAGACCAACAGTTCCACTCAAACACTGAGGATATATGGGTGGAGTCTGCAGCTCTGTGACTGAGACAATAAATAAAACCACACCACTGTGGGACTGCTGCACACTGGAGGCTCACAGTGTACAGTAGGAGGCAGAATTCTCTTCAGTCCAAACTAAGATTCACGTTTAATGTTACTTTTTTAGTTTGTTATTGCGCTCAGCTTCTTTTTCTTTCTTCTCAATGTCTCCTCACACACAAAAACACTACACTTTAAAGATATATAGAAGCTAAAAATGATTAGCAATTCTGCCAAAATATGTCAACAAGTAGCCAGAAAGCAAACACAGTCAGAATGACGAGCTGAAAGATTGACGTGAAGGAAAGTAGACCTGAGTCAAGGTATGAAAGTTCAGCAGACGAATGCTAACGGAATTAGCCTAGAGTGAAGGCAGTGAAGTGGTAACCTCCTGTCTGTGTTTGTCTGTGTGTGTGTGTGTGTGTCAGGTGTTTCGGGGAGGACACATGTCTCTCCATTCCTGATGTCAAGGCCGTTGTTATGGTGCTGCCGCCCAGTGAACCGAGAATCACAATTACAGGATCTAATCGACTGGTCAGGCCTGCGTCTGACCTGCAGGGACCGCTGGGCGTGGCGCCCTTCAAGGAGCTGCACATCACCAGCACGGTGATGAAAGGAGACAGCGTTGGTGGATGTGAGTGGAGAAGCTGCACCTGGTTCCCAGGGAGTTGTCCTGGCTTCACTTTACAGCTAATGAATGTGTTGATAAATCCTTCTTCCATTCACACGTCTGTGCCTGCAGTCCATCGTACAGGTGTGATGGAGGTGATGCATAATCTGGATTACTGTGACATCCTGGTCATTGGAGAGGAGCTCAGTCCTGACGCAGAAAGTCTGGAGATTCATCACAACGCTTTGCTGGGAAAACACCTGGATGCCACCAACTCCACCTCTGGAATTTCAATTTATGGTGGGTGGAGTTTCTGGAAGTTCGTTCAGGAGGACGAACATCTGTGGTTCTATTTACACTCTATGTTTTACTGTGCTGCACTGAAGGGTAATTCATTTTCAGTGGGTTATCAGCTGTAACCCCAGAAAGGGACTAACATAATGGCCTTCAATATATTTTCTTATCAAACTTATTTTTGTTTTGGCCGTCCAAATGTGTTCAGCGTGTTTGATGAACGTTTTTCAGCAGTCTCTATAGAGTATCCTGTGGACTACTATTCATTATCGGCTACTACAATACTTTTTTTGTTTTTGTATATTGACAAAAACTGTGTGTGGTTTAACCAAGCCTTAGTAAAGAAGTAAAGTTTAATTATACAGCAGGTTTACAGTTAAAAACCATTTAAGAATAAATAGAGAAAGAGAAACACCAAAGGCTAGGTTTCTGTTTGTACCATATGCAACATTTTCCTGCTAATTTGTTTCAAACGCTTTAATTTATGAACGTTTTTCACTTCTTTACCACAGCTGCAGGGGGAGCCGACTCTAAGTGAAATTAGCCGTACACAACAGTAAACCTGTTTACAGTAAAGGTGTAATAGCAAATGTAAATGTGCTCAGTCCACTGATGTCCTCACAGTCTGCCGTCCACCAAAAAACTGAAGGTCACAATACAACACTGAACAGCTTCTGGTCAGAACAGCTAACCATGAATAAACCACAGCTGGCTCTCATTAAAGCCCAATTCACCAGAGCCCTGCTAGCTGGCTGCTGTTCGGGAGCGAAGGCCCGGGGAAGTAAATGCCAAGTCCAATCCAAATGATATCATGTGGCTTACAGAAAGAAAACGCACACTTCCACAACCGATTAACCCGTCAAAGGACAACCGCAAAAAAGAGGACGCAAAGAAAAAAGATCCAACTCTTGAAGGCGTTTAGTTTTTACACCATCAGAGATATATTTCTCATGGAGTCTGCAGGAAACGACAGGAGCATCTGTGTTGGTCTGCACATTTAATGACCTTGTGGACTTTTCTCACCCACCACTCCTGCTCTGTGCTACACGTTTGACATGGAGTGTATACAGTAGAAAAACTGTAGATCCACTCCAACAACACACATCCTACCGTTCCTTCATGTTAAACGACAGTGACGCTGCCATTTAAATTGGCTGTCATCCAAGCTCATTATGAGGAAAAGTGAACTCTGATAAACACCCTCTTAAATACCCACAATTCATAGTGAGAATTGACTGACGGCATGTTAAAGTCCTTCAGATTTGTAGCTCCAGGCTGTGCAGATTTTTCTTTCGACTGAAACGACAGCAGCGGCTGAAGATTAATTAAACCCTAAGATGCTTATCTTGTATCTTCTCTAACATCATTTAAAAACTGTCCTTTTTGAAGCTCTCTCAGCGGACCTCCACAGACGGCACTCACAGCACACTTTATTACCTGCATACGGACTGCGTTAGTAGAAAGTTGTGTAATACTTTTTGTCCTGTGTGTGTGTGTGTGTTACCAGGTGTGGACTCCATGGCTCACTATGAGCAGGCACTGAGACAAGTGCGCTACAGGAACTGGCGACCCGCCACCCTGACTGAGAGGAGGTTCAGACTCACCTGCTCTGAACTCAACGGACGCTACACCAGCAACGAGTTTAATTTGGAGGTTTGCTGCGACGTCTTTCATCTCCGCCGTTTCATCCTGTTTTCACATCTCCTCGCGCACCGCCAAATTATGTTTTCTCTTTCATCTGTCATCGTCTCGGTTTCCTCGGTGGTGTCATTTTAGTTTTAGTTTTTTTTCTTTCCTCTTTCAAATGAGGAGCTTCAATCAATCAATCTAACGCTTAGGTCTTTGATATTTATTTAACCATCTCTGTGATAGCACAGCTGTATTGATCTGGTCCTCTAACACCTGAACAGCCACCGGTCTTCCCCTGCAGGTCAGCCTTCTCCACCACTCCGCACCTGTGGAGCACGTCAATCATCTGGCCTCCCAGCAGCAGTACATAAGACCTGTCCATCACCCACTCATGATACACACTCTCAACTCACACATGCCAGGTAAGCCTGAGCCGAACGCCAACAAACTGACAGCAACAATGATGAGAAAACCCGTGTAGAAACGTCGTCTCTGAGCTGCCTCAGCCAAATGGACTTAGTCAGATTGGAAAAAAAATTATTTAAGGCGCAAATCTGCAGGGACAATACAATGAAAAAAAATCATTGAAAATCAAAACAATAATTATGACTGTATAAATCAAATTAGTATTGATGTCAAGAGAGAAAGAGAGAGGCTGTGAAGTGTTCATTTGCACACACGCAGGTACAGAAACACACATCTGTGCTCTTCTCTGCTCCGTTTCAGGGAGAAGTAGATGATGCTTATTCATTAGCCAATCGTAGCTGAGTCCAGAGAAAGACTATTTATTTACTCTGATAGAGCAGCAGGAGTGCAACACAGCCTGGGTGTATATGAGAGTGAGTGAGGGGTAACAGCTGAATGTGTGTGTGTGTGTGTGTGCAGGGCTGTGACGATGCCACATGCATTATTGAAAGGCCCGGTGTATATTATTCATGCCAAAATAACAGCAGTATATTTATAATAGTATACCCAATTTTTGCAGAAGTATTTTATTTCAGTACTGGTCTCTGTCAGGAAAACTGAATATTGAAGATCTTTTTTATACATCAAACTTCTGGAGAAATCCATTCTTATCATCGGATGTGGGAAGACTTTACGTAAACTAACAAGGCGGAGCACTCGCTTTAGCACAGGAAGCCAAACAGCTGAAGAAACACCTGGGCTGTTTCACTGACGGATCATTCAACAGCTCATGCCAGTGAATCATGTGCAGTAACACAGTGGCCTAAATATGAAGATGACATAACATGAATGTCATGTGAGCTGTCGGAATATTGGTCAAATCATCATCACAGAACTACAGAATATTAGGAGTTATTCCACTTGGCTCCAAACGTTTATACAACTACAAAACTACACTCTGCTCCTTCTCTGCTCCCCCAACAGGAACAGCACCCCCTGCAGCCACAGTCATCATTGTGGTTTGTATCGCCGCCCTGGTGACCATCGTGGTCATCGGCGTATACAGGATCCACGCCACACACCAGGAGGGGTCCAGAGAGGATGAGGAGGAGGTCAAAGAAGCTGACGTGGACTGGGAGAACTCTGCTCTCACCATCATCGTCAACCCCATGGAGGTGACTGAAACATTTTGAAAGTCTTTCTGGTTCTGTCTTGTTTGTAAAACTGCATCTGAATGTTGTTTTGTTTTTTAGAACATTGCAGGAAACCAGGCTGTGGACGAAGAGGTAAAAGAAGAGAGCCAAGAGGAGGAGGAACAGGGAATGACAAGCGCTGAGTCAGAAAACAGCGACGAGGACGATGAGGAGGAGGAGGAGGAGGAGGAGGAGGAAGAGGAAGAGGATGAGAGAGATGTGGTGGAAAAGAGGAAGCACGAGGGAAAATTTGAGTGGGACAGTTCCTCCAGCACCTACTGATCACTCACACACACCTACATGTTCATTAATATACCTACATATATGGCACATTTTTTGCAACTTTGTCTATTTTGTTCCTTCTCTCTCTCTCTCTCTCTCTCTCTTTCAAAGCGAACAGACACCAACATCGTGCTGATATGACCCTCATGTCGACTACAGATACACAACAGAAAACAAATCGAGAGTAAATCATTAGTAATTTGCCTTAATTGGAAACATTGTAAAAAACAGTTCTCATTTTTGACAAAACAGCTCGCTCTACTGGACAAAGTCTAAAGTACAGCCGCAGCAGCGTCTACCTGTGTTGGCTACAAATTGAAGAATAAAAAATCGAGCACATATGCAGAGGTGGACGTTATTTCCTCGGTTTTAATTGAATCAAAATAGAAACATTTGAATATATTTAATAAACAAATCAATCACGGTCACGTTTTAGCTATTAAAAATTAACTTTAAATTCTTACCTCCTGCAAAACCAAAAGTAAAACTAATTTCTCAACAAATCTGTGTCCATACGTTATTCTGATCATGTCACTTTATTCTAATTGAAATGCATTAGTTCTGTTCTCCAATCATTTTTGTCATCATCTTTGTGCTTCGATTCAGTGGCCTAGAAACTGCAGAGATATGTTCTACACGTGTTACCCACCACTCCTCGTGTTTCCTGACTTATATACGGTTTAATCTAATTTGCAGCACGAGATGAGGTCTGTTTTTTTTTTGTTGTTGTTGTTGTTTGTTTGTTTTTCTGTAACCTGAAGCTCACTTGTGTCACTTCTGTCAGTTGCTTAGGTCAAACTGCTGGTAGAAAACAAAAACAAAAAGGTTTGTTTAAGTCAACTGTCAAATCAAGTCTTTTTCCTTCAGCAGAAACAGTGACGCAGAGATGTTAGACTGAATGTTCTTCTTCTTTTAAGCCCATAGTTAAGAGCCTCTCATGTGAACTCTTAGGAACTATCAGTCTCAGATCTATCTGTCTTAATGTCAAAATGCAAGTCTTCACCCATAATGCATCTGAATTTCACCTTTTCATTTTCACAAGTGATCAATTGCAAGAGCCGTTGCTTCCTAATAGTGCTGAGTAGGAGTGTGAAAACATCATTCGCTTGGAGTCACAGCACAGAGCAAACCACCACAGAGCAGTGACGCTCCAGCTGCTGAAACATGTCGTTAATCTTCTCAGCCCTTGAATTTCTCAACATTTGTATTGTCACCGTCTCACCAGAACTACAGTCTGTAAAAAACATTCCATTTATCACCGCACAGCATCACCGAGACTGCCCGTGATTCCAACGTTGTCATGGAAAGATGGCAGAGCCGAGTTAGCCAGTTACCTTTTAAGATTTGACATTGATCTGTCCTTGTTGTTGTGGAATGTCTTACGTCATTAAAGTAGAGCAAAACTTAGACTTTACGTTAAAGCAAAGATAACCGTTGGGTTATACCTCTGTTTTCTGAGACTCTTTGCTGAGCATTACTGTAAAAAAAAGAAGAAGAAAAAAAGAGGCAGAGCGAATGTTTGTTTTTGCTGGTGTTATCAAGTCCACAGTCCTGCACACCTTCGCAAAACCCTGGTCTCTGATAGCGACTCCATCACGTGCTACCATGCTGCAGCTAGCATAGACAGCAGAGTTTTCTCTCCGTTCAACGATTTAAGAGAAAAAAAAAACTTTTATTCAGAGAAATCAGACTTCACCCGTTTGCTCTTCATCATATGCGTCTCCTGTTGACCTTTCCCTCCCTCCGTTGCCCCTTGAGCACCTGTGATTGTGATGTCATCATTGTGAAACAACTGCCTTGCCCCTTTTTTGTCATATTGTGCTTCTGAAAGATTTAAGAAAAAAAAAGAAGAAACTTTTACAAATTACAACACAAACTGTAAAAAATGTTCAGGACAGTTATTTTATATATACTTTTACTTTTGGTAAACAAAGTGGTCGGGATCTCTCTCTCTCTTTCTCTCTCTCTCTCTTTAGTGGTTATCCCACTGCTTTCTGTATATTGACCAATAAAGACTTGTTTTAGACTCTACTTAGGTCTTGGATGTGTTTGTATGACTAAAAATGGCTCACAAAATATCTGGCCTTTCCCTATAGATGCAGCCAAGTGGTAGTAATTCACCAAATCTAAATGACTATTTATAGTAATCTATTTAGAGCTACTGACTTTTACAACAATTTCACACAGAATGGAAAGGATTTGGAGCAGGTCAGGGTGATGAAGTTGGAATCTACTAATAAGTAAAATAGAATTGGTGGAAGAATTATATTAGCCACTTCATAAAGTAAAATAAAAGCTTCAGACGTCTTTTTAACCAGTAAACCATAAGCTACTGTAAACAATACTTCTCTGGATCATTGCTAAATTTTTTTTTTTTTTTTAATAAGGGAACTGGGAGTTTGTTCCATCATTTTTATGTATTTCTAGTTTCCAAAGTGAAAGTGCAGCCTCTGCAGTCCCTGATGATCAGCTCATAACAGTTTTATCTGATGAGAGCAATAAATCACACAGTCAGGCTGGCAACTCATTATGTTGTTGGCTTTTTCAGCATATGAAAGTCGTTTAATTTCAGATCTCATTACAGATAAAAAAAATGGGGAGGGGGCGTAAAGAATACAGTCTGCACTCACTGTAGAACTATTTTTGAGGAATGTGAACAACATTTCCAGATCCTGTTCCAGATCTCTGTCCTTATTTCAGTGTCGAAGAATAGACAATTTCAACCTTTGTAAATTCTAAACTGTAGAATGAAAAGCCATGGTTCTGTTATCTAAGATCAACAGTTTACATCTACAACAGCTGAGGTGACCAACACTGAGGTCAGTGTCGGGGCATTTAGGTTCAGGAAAAAACACCCACGGACTTAAGTTACAGAGGAACAGGGGAGTAAAGACAGTCCTGGACATCCATGATGACAGGTGTAGCTGGAACGCAATGTCCAAAATAGTAGAAAATGACCACAACAATCAAAGTTGTAAACGGACGGGATTGTAAACGGACGCAGACGGGATGTAAATATTGTATGTTCAATTACAAAAACTGCCAGTTAAGTCTAAATAATAAAGGTACTGAGACTAGTAAATGACCACACTGGGGAAAATGAGGACAGGAGACGGGTAGGCAGGACAGCCAGGAGGAGGCACCACAGTACACTAAACCCATTACTGGACATCAGCCTTTTGACACAGCGGCCAAAACAAGGCATCCTCACAGTTCAAACTCAACTAACCTCATCTTCAGAGCTGAGAAACAATGTGTCAAGTCGACCCTTGGTTCAACATCTGGACCCACACACACACAAAAGTACACACTGCTGATGAAGAAAAAAACATTTGGACTCACCTTTGTTGACAGCACCTAGAAAGTAATAAAAGTTACTGCACATTTGTTGAGAGTGACCATTGAGTGAATGGTCAATGACTCCAAACTGCTGACGTCAGTCATCCACATACGTCATAATCACGCTCAGAAACACTGGACCTCCATAGCTCCACATCCACACCACTGTAAAGGGACCAGGTTCACAACAACCTGCTCATGACAAGCCTGGAGCCAAGAGCCAGCCACCTGCAGACCTCACTGACTGAGGCTGTCGCTGCCAAACCCAGAGTCCACAGGAAAACCACAAAGGAAACAAACAAGGCCAGAGACGGGTGGCCATTTGTTGTTTATACTGCTGCACAAATGCACACAAACAAACAAACAAACACACAGTCGCTGCAGGCACGGCGGCCGCACAGAATAAAAAAAAACGACGCTCCTTACTGTGTTGAAGAGCTTCAGGAGAAAGAATCTGGAAAATAAACAAAAACAAGGCGTTAGCACAACATGCGTCATATAAATTATTATTAAATAGAAAGCCTGAGTTTGACGTATAATACATATAAAATATATACATATAAAAAACGACGCGTTTTTTTCTTTTTTTCTTTTTTCTTTTTTTTTTTTTTGTTTCTTTGTTGTCGTTTTTGTTTTGTTTGTTTCAGCAGAGTACTCTGACGCACTCTTCTACCTGGTCTCCGTGCGCAGGAATCCCCACGTATCTGTTGTGGATTAATTTAATACAGTATGAACGACGGTTGACGTCACAGAGGCTGTACTTAAAACATTAAAATAGTAAAGCTTGGTTAAATAATATACTGAGTCAAAACGTCAACAGTAGGGAGGAAACATTCAAAGGTTTGTCACCTGGCTGTCTCTGCAGTTCATCCGAACCAGGTGCACTTGTTAATTTTGATTACATCCATCAATACGTCACGTCGTGTCTCCTTCTACACCAAAGCGTGATTGGCCCGTATCCTATGACGTGAACGCCCGCAGCAGTGGTTTGTTTTATTTTGATTAAAATTATTTATAATAGCAAACACTACTGTATATTAAATAAACGGTTATTTAATAAATTTTAAAAAGTCAACCTCCTTAATAATTAATCAAACCACAGGTTGTAGTCATGCCGACTAACACTTTCACATGAACTATTACAACATTTAAATCAAAATAATACAAATAGAATGTAACATAACAATATATGTTTAACATAAACAATATTCCCATTACATTTCAAAGATTCCCAAAGCTTATTCCAGAAGCTCCTATGTAGAGCTTTTTCAATGGAATATGACACCCTGGACATAAGTGTACCACTGCTGTAATGCTTCCAGTCACTAGGTGGCAGTAATTCATACAGTGGTTTGTACAGATAAAAATATACATATTATCAGGTTCTCAATAGTTTCAATTCAACAGGGTGTGGGTCAAGGTGGGGGTGGGGGGTTAATACCATGCCCCCCCGCCCCCCTCGCATGATGTTTTCTATGATGTAAGGAGGGGATGATAGAAAATAACTGAGGACCACTGTGTTAACTGAATCCCATCAAACTTTACAGCCTTGTTACCTGAACTTGATTACTGAAGTCTAGAGGTTTTGTGCGACATTTATTTACCAGTTTGAGGCCTCACCTGGATCTGACTTCACTTTTACACCGCAGCATCTGTCCTGCTGTTGCTTTACAGCCATCTGTCGTCACATCCAAGTCTCCCACAAATTACCTGCTTCTTTTGTTCGGCCTCATCAAAGTCAAGCTGCTGCGTCCTGCAACGGCCGATTCCTCCGAGATTCCACGTCAGAGTGTGAGTGGGGAGATAAATAAAGCTGTTTGTGATCAGATAGTGGCTCTGTTCCTATTAAATAGTGAGGCTCTGATCTATAGAACAGTGTCAGGATGGTGACGCAGGAGCTTCATTACACGCTCTGTCTACTATTGATCTCCAAAACATCACTCCCTCTTGGGGGTTTCAGAGACGACGAGCCGGACCTGATGATGCTTTTACTGAGTCTGAGCCTACAGAGCAACAGAAATATGAAGCCAGTAAACACAGCAACTTTAACTCAAGTCTGTGGTCTGGAGATGTTGTTTTTTTTTTTTATTTTAGACTTTGATAGCATCAATATCTCTCTGGCTGAGTGTTTGTGCGCGTAAGCTGTATTTACAGCAGCAGGCGCTGATGAGCTGCCTGCTGGCTTTTAACTCGTCTGCTGTTCAGACCAGACTTTACAAAATTGGGGAAACTTATGGGCTCAAACTTTATGGTCCAATTCTCTTTGCTTGGGCTTTTGGTTCAATGGAGCTCCTCAGGCACAAGGTGCTAAAAGTATTTAAGCACAGCTTAAACCACCAGCGTTGTACTGCAGCTTCGCCTGTCAGTGGAAAAACGAAGCAAAAAAAAAAAGTCTGAAAATGTGCACATTTTTTTGACTAATTATATAAATGCATTTCTTACCAACAGTCTTTATTATATATTTAGGCATTTCGGTTGAAAATATATCTGTTTATTAACCAAACAAAGGTCTAAATCAATGGTTCAAACAAATATTTAAATTAAAAAAAGAAATAATTTCAGACATGACTTACACACATTTTTCTTAATCACTTGGCTTTTTATTCACATTTCTTATCTGTCGACATCTCAAATACAATGTCCATACATTCGACGTTTCCTCTGAACTGGTCCTCGTCCTCTCAGCTAACTGAAGGAAGCAGAGGTGAGACCATCGCCGTCACAAAAATAATAATTAAAATAATGGTAACAACAACAGTAAAAGCAGCATTGAATCAATTGTTTGGGATTTCTCCCCTCTCTCTCCCTCTCCCTCTGTCTCTCTCCCTTCACTTGTAGCATCTTTGTAATAAATTTACCTGAATGTAAAACCGTCCATCAGTTAAAAACATAAACATCATCTTGTGATAAGTTACAATATCACAGTCATCATCGTCATCATCACAACCAGACTCCACACTCATAATAATATTAATAATAATTCATAGGAATAATGAAGGATACAAACTCCAAAGTAAAAAAACAAAAGTGACTCAAGCCTTTTTAGGAACGAAAAAGTGTGTGTGTGTGTCTGTATTTGTGTGCTTGGGTGTGTGTGTGTAGTTGTGCACTGGTCGACCACATTTCATTCCCAGCCTGCTCAGGCCTTAACGTAGATCTGCTTGTTTTCTTCTTCTGTGGTCATTAAGACAGTTGTGCAGCGAGCAGACAGATACTGTCTGGTGGACAGGGAGCTACAGCAGGTGCTACCATCATGAATCTCTAGGACTGTCCACAGAATGTTAGCACTACGGCAACACCGAGGCCTGACGTGACCTGAAGCCTCAACGCACACAGGTGAAAAGGTCATGTCGCAGTGTGGAATACTCTGGTGGTGACTGACATCCTAGTAGGCCAAGGGGTGTTTGCTGAGGAATGTTTCTCTCTTTAATGTTTTTGTGCAAATCTTTTTGAATTAGTAAGTAGTAAAAGATTCAGTGGACCAGTCCTTTTTAGATGATTGGTTCATCATGCGTACAGTATATTAAACCTTTTCACAGTACTACAGTTGCTATTTCTAGGCCGCTACACATTTGTTATCATCTGACCACATGCAGCACAGCTGTCCCCTGACTGTGTTTTCTCTTTCCTCTGTAAAGTCAGGATGCTTCTGGGTGTGAATACAGGTGAAAATATATCCACACGTTGCAGTGTTGTAACACAAATGATGTTAAAACAGCCAAAAAATGATTATCACTATATAATGTAATCAAACTGATAACTATTAAGACTCTTGCAGACCAAATAATGACTAGTCCATCAATAACTTATTGCTTTTCAAATCTACTGTTCTATCCCTCTGTATCAGACATGCCTCTCTCTAAAAAGGACTTGTCCCCAAATGATGTGCATCAGTTAGGAGGTCAGGCTTTTTTTCTTCTTTATATAAACTCTGTATTCCACCTGAGTCCATGTTTGTCCACTGTGTGTGCTGTGGGAGTGTGTAGTCGGCCCGAGTTGTTACATCAAAATGACTAGTAGTAGTAGTGCTAAAATCCTATTGGACGATTCGGAAGCTGCAGCCTGTAACCTGTGTCAGTGGAGAAAGCGGACACACACATGTGTCCAGTTAGTGATACTGTCACTGACTTGACGTCAGAAAGGCCTCCGTGTTTACTGTTACTGTGCCTTCTCATTGCAGCATTCATTATCTCCGCTAGATGGTGGTGTTTGTCTTACCACCATCGCCTCTCTCTTTGCTTTACTGCACTGTGCAGTCCAGTGGACGGGCTTTTCTCTCCTCACTGAGTGACGCACTGATGGGACACCATCATTAATAAATTATTTCAAGTCCAATATAATAATAATAATTAAAAAAAATAGGAGCAGCTCAAAATTCTGAAGAAGCTGGGACTGCCCTGCCCCTGGTGTGAAAGCATGGACCTCCACCATCAGGTTCACCTTCCTTCTTTCATATTAAATCATTTCTAATCAAGCTGTGGACTCTGACGGTGGACAGTTGTCCAGCCATCACTCATGTTTAAAGACTTCTCATCCCTGAAACTTTCTGGTGGTCTGGTTTGCGTCGACATTCCGTCAGTTTTCTCTGCTCTCCTTGTCAGTCACTGGTACTGGAGGTAATTTTTGAGGGACTGAGGAAGAGGGAGGCTCTCGATCTCCTGTAACCTCTCCCGCCCCAAGGCCAGACGAGCGGCACGCCGACAGAGGTCCATCAGGGGGAGAGGCTCAGCTGGAAAACAGAAACCAGAACAGAGATATATTCAAAACACTGGAATACGGTCCAAAAACCTGGTCTCTGTTAGTGTTTGAAGGGTCTATTGGTGGTGGGATATCAGGGATTGATTTGCCTGCAGGTTTGTGTTTACACTCTGTCTTTTGTTCATGAATAATGCAACTAAATATTTGTTATGCATGGAGGAATAAGACACAACAGTAGTGATGCAGAGAGAGAGCAATCATGAACGACTTTAAATATTCACATCTCATCTCACACCCTCAACACGGGCCACCCTTCACCCTAACAGCTGAAAAAGAACATCTTCTAACAGGTGGGTTTTAAACAGGGGGGAATGTAACTGTGAGTTGTTTTTTATGCAGGGACACAGCAATGATATGTGGACGTTGTGAGTTTAAAGTGTCAAGTTCTGGTCAGCCTCTGCTCACTGACCTTCACCTTAACATGGAGGTCGCAACGGTAACAGACACCAGAGGCTGTGGTTTGAGCTGCAGGAGATAGACCACAGGAGTGATGCGAAAGAGGAGGAGGAGGAGGAGGAGGAGGGGGTGGTGTGTGTGTGTGTTTACTGTTTTTACTTAAGCACATCCAACAGCCAGTTCTCTGACTCTGCAGACTCTCTAAATCCCAAATATATGTCGAAGAAGTACATATATACTACCTAAGTATCCATTACTTCAGTGATCTGTGGATGACAAGCTGATGCGCACACACACCCACACACACTTTTCTCCACATCCAGCATGTGCTGTTGCACAAATTGCCCATAAACGTTACATTTATGGGCAGTTTCAACGTCTCAGTTTCAGTAAACTGTTAGTGTCTAACCGTCAGCCAATCATCTCCTGCTCTGTTTTCAAACATAAACACTGGGAGGATATGAATTAACATGTGAAAATAATGACATTAAAGCGTGTGCTTTTCTGACCTGGACCTCATTATTGTTTATTCACTGAGTTCATTAACATAAGATGTGATGCGTGTGTCGTGAAATATTGCACTGACCTTTCCGTTAACATGTCACGGTGCAGAGTTCAAACCTGAATCAAATCTCTACGTAACACCCAGTGATGTGAAACTCCTGACAGGACTCTGATGTGATTAGCCTCAGGCTGGTCCACATATTAATGCCACGGTTGATGACTGCACTGATCGTCTTTACAGCATACATCTCATGGACGTTTGGGGATCAGCTGCTTGAGTTTTACAGCAACTGAATGTCAGTTAATATGACTTTACAACTTTTGACTTTTTAAATAAACACATCCAACGCTCAGCTAAAACGTACTGCCAATGTACAATATCTGAACCCACACAGCTGCACAACAACAGCAGAGCGTCAGCGGAGGGTCACGCAGGGAGAAACGGAGAAATGGAGCAGAACGGCAACAACGGAAGTCACTCATCTGAAAGAGGTAGTGACGGACGTGGTGTGAAAAGACGATGAACGAAAAGGCAGGTTACAGACGGGAAAGGAGAACTGTTGACTTTAAAAGGTGGTTATCTTCCCCAAAAGTCTTGGTCGGTTTGATTATTAATTAACTGGTGAAGCAGATTGGTATTTTAAGATGTTAAAAGTGTCTCAAAGGAAGAGCTGTTGGAATCATGATCAAGGTTGAACCTCGTCCCTGTCGGGACCTTCCTGCTCCCTGCAGGTCAATGAAGTCGGCTGTCATCACCTGTTGTGATTCTGGTGCCTCTCTCCTACCAACCTCTGTTCAAGGTTAAACACACACACACACACCTTCACTCTGTAGGGGAGCCCTTGGAGTGTGACTTGTCACATCGATGTTTGTCACAAAGACACGGCAGCAGCTTTGACCTCTCCTATTCACACTTATTAGGATGCGCTGTGAATAAAGCACGATGCGTCCGTGCCTGAGGGGAACTTACACTGAGAAGCATAAATAATAATTTATCTCATGTGCATGAAATAAAGTGCATACAGCGCCACCTATGTGTGAACGCTCCACACACTGTTGGACATATTTATTGCACCCGACCTGAAGTGGGTTAGTGGTGCTTTGTTATGGTGATCAGTCTGCAGAGTGCTGTACAAAGTGCAGTGTCAGGTCTGTGTCAGCAGACAATATTAACCCAGGGAATCTCAGAGTGAGTCTTTCAGCTGGGCCTGGACCACCACGTGGTAGTGTTTTCATTATAGTTCACCTCCGGTGTTTATCACCAGAGCCCTGTAGCAACAGACGTTTAGATAAGGTGATAGAAGAGGAGCTTTGTTGGGGAATATTCACAGAATAGTATAAATCCAAGTATCACATAATACTATAGTAAATAGATAGAAATATCAGCTTTGACACCAGCGTTGATACAGTCTGACAGTGTCCAGGACGACCGACTTCCTTCAGACATTCAGGGTGTTTTTTTAAATTGACCTCTACAGAGATTCATTTCAGACCCACTGTATTTGTTTGTTTCAAAGTAAATGTAAGAGTTGAAGAGCAGTGCAGCATGGTTACTACAGGTCAGGAGATAAAGAATGCATTAGGTCACAGAACCACTGAACATGAGACAGATGCTGATGAATGAGCGGTGCTGTTCTTGCAGATCAGTGTGTGTGTGTGTGTGTGTGTGTGTGCCTTTCAATGGGAGCATTTTTGTACCACATCCAATTAAAGTTTTTTGTGGGCAGAAATATCTTTGTTGTTATTACGCAATAATTCCTTAATGGGCTATTAAATAAGATTGCCCCGGCTGCGTTGGGGAGATTTATCCTAGAACACCGGAGAGACGGGCTGGTTGTCCAACTACCACAACCGATGATACACAGAAACACTGAAGAAAGTAAGAGAGGGTTTTTGCATTTGTTTTACTATTATTAATAGTCCAGTTGTTTTGTCATTTCTGTGACAAATGCCTTGAACATTTTATTTTTGTAAAAAGTCATAGGTCAGATCTGGATAAAATAATGAATGCCATCCATTTACTACTACAAAATCAGGCCCCAAAAAGTTTGGACACACCAGTCCTAAAGTAAGTGAAACACAGGTAATAGATCAAAACCCAACCCAGTGTCAACATGTTCAGAGTTAATGGATCTACAGAGGTTGGTCTGCCTGACATTCATATAAGGAATGCCTTCTATAATGCTCATATGAATTATTAATAATCTTTCTTAGGATTTTAGACAGTGCCTAATGTAATGTAATTGTGTCTCTTTATCATTATGCATTAGCTCTTATGGATGCAACAGCAGTGAGAAGACACTGAGCATTCACCATAAAGAACAATGAAAACTAACAAAGATTATAAAAATGAATGATTTTAGCATCACCAACTTGTTTTACACCAACAGTTAAATGCATTAAAAAAAATAAAATAAAAGCATTAGGATATAAAGTGAGGTGAGGCCTGGACCTGGTAGATCATTTGAGAGACTACACAGTTGTTTTGATGCATTACACAAATGTAGCCCAGTGATCATGTACTGATTGACTGTATAATGCATCAGCAGCTGAGGCTTCAACAGGAAGTATTATCACTAAGTGAATCTGATGCTGCAGGTTCTCCATCCTCCTCACATGGGTCATAGTCAGGGTGGAGTGGGCCCCTAAAGTGAAAACCTCTGTCATGGACCGGCATCTGATCCATTACACATAAACAGTATCTGTGCTGGCCAATGACTGACTCCGATGTTCCCGCTGCATTAACAACATGAGCTGTTTCCTAATGACACATTTCCATCACGTCACCATTCCGTCAAGCTAACGATGAGACACACTGTGGATGATCAGCAGTGGGTCATTTAACCTCTGCGTCATTACACATCCAGTGCATTAAAAAGACTTATTAAGACACAACACACGGTAGACATAATGCGTGTTGTTAAAAGGAAATTCAGGATAAATAAAGGAATATATAAATATCAAACATTTGTAGTGGCCCATTGACATGCCTGAAGAAATTGATTCCTACTTTCCCTGACGGTGTCAGCTGTATACTGTATAAAGTGTTTTTTCCTGAAGAAGAGTACTCAACAATATGAGATTGACACAGTGTGGAATAATCGCAGCCAGCGGAAGGACTGCTTCTCTGAAGAGTCACTTTATATGGATATGAAGAATGACCCCGGGTCTACTCTGATAGCAACAAGAAGTAATAGGGTCACCAAGAGTGACACCGCGCCTCGTAATGAAATGCAGCAGGCAGCGGCTCAGAGCTGGATTTATGGTCTGCAGACAGTGATAATCGGAGAGGAACGTGAAAATGGCAACAGCAGCTTCACCCCAAAAAAGATGGATGGAAGAAGTGACCTGAAGGAAGGCCAAGAACGACATAAAAAAAAGTCTGTGAGTCCTGAGAGAAAGACCTTACAAAGAGTCAGAGGAAGTAGAAAAAATACCATTAAATATAAATATTCCGCCGAGAAACCAACGCACATGAATATGAAATCTGTAATCTGTTATTAAGAGTCTAAATAAATACTCCTCTGCTGTCGATTCAGGTCTGATTTACAGCTTCGCTCGTTTTTTTCTTTGTGGAGGATTTTATGGTCTTAATTGTGGTTTTACTGTCTTCAATATAAACTGCTGCTCATTTTTCTAAAATTATAGTCCCATTAAAGAGAAAACTGCTGATAAAGCTTTTAAACTGTTCAGCCTCAGACACACACTGCACCCTGATACAAACATATCTGTGTATCAACATACAGTACCAGCCCCGGGTGAGTACTACCACTATAGTTGGGATTTTTGAGCAATGCTACATTTATGATACCCGCCCATTTCTGATTGGTCCGTTGAATGAACTTGAACGGACTTCTTACATTCTGCATTTGAGTAGTTTCCCTGTACTGTTCCAAAAATACCATGAAAAGTGATAGCGCTGGAACATCTCCATAGGCAACGATGAAATAACAGAAGGACAAAAGACATTAACATTACAAAGCTACGAAAGTCTGAAATAAGAGTGGAGATGCACATGCACCTGAACATACAGAAGAAAAAAAAAGATGCACATGCACCTGAACATACAGA